CACGGGCGGCCGTGCTGTGGGAAGGGGGCTGCCTGGTGTGACACCCTCGGCGGTGGAGCCCACGCTGTCTCTACGCACGTTAATGAGAAAATACTTCCCGTGTGTTGTGTTTGTCTGGAGCATCTTCTCAAGCTGATACCCTGACGTCCAGAAGTCTAGTCTAGTCTTGTCTTGTCTTGTCTTTTCCACATACATTGACAGGAATAACTTAGAAACGATTGATCAGCTGTGAGAAAGATAAGTGGAAACTGTGGCATACTGTATCCCGCAGGACAATGGAGACCTGATAAAACAGGAGCTGATTTTTTTTAAGGCTATTTATGGGCCTATTCTTAGTGTTAAACTGCTCTTTCAAAACTTTTCTTGCCCCCTGACAGCTGGGGAAATTAAAGGTCTCGAATCGTATCTGAAAACAGACTTGTGTTCTGGTGTGTGCTTGAGGAGAGGGGATGTGATCTATGCATTTTTAAAAATTAATTTTGGTGATGATTTTTTGTCTGAGTTATATAAGAAACTTTTCTTATGCAAATTAAAAATAATTTGTCTAATATGGCACATCTTTAAATTTATTCACAACCTAGGCTGTCTCCTCTGTTCTTAATGTCAATAATCTATTATCTGAAATAAATATTCCTGGCTACCTCTTAAGTACTTTATAAAGCATTTATAAAATGTTTGGGAGTTAGTGAAGTTAGTAACAGATTACATCTAAACATGTTGAATACTATAGAGAGTAACGTCTCAAACTGTGCTTATAAGGTTCTCTTCTGATCTTTCGTCTCATACTCATCTGAAATATGAGCCTCTCTGGCTAATCGCAATGTTTGAATACAGTTACCTTTTGGTCTTTTTGTCTGGTTCATGATCACCATTGGTTTGCATTTGGTCTTTTATGGCTGAAGAAACGGATATAATCTCGCTAAATGACAAGTTAATGCACGTAGGTAATTTACCTGAATTGCATTTTGGCATGCTGGGTCTCCATTTCCAAGAGCTAATACTAATGTCTAAGAAAAATGCTATCTGTCTTAAAAATTCCATTTCGTTAAAGGACTGGACAGCAGGCTTGTAGATGTGGGGGAAAAGAGTAGCTATGGCAGTGGGCAAGTTTTCCAGAAGAGTGAGCACTCATGAGAGGCTTTTGGTACTCTTCTGGACACAGAAGAAAATGAGTCAGGATGTCTTGCAAGTATGATGTTGCTGGCAAGTGAGAGAGGAAGAAGTTTTTGGAAAGTGACTCCATAATTCCAAAGGGTCAGAAATTCCACTATTAAATAAACGGTCCTGGCAGCTTACCTGCAAATTTAAGAGCTTGCCCAAACTTTTCTTTGGGCTCTGCAGAACACGTGCAATATTATGAGGAAGGTCTTAAATCCAGTGTAATGTGCAAGTGGCTTTCACAGAAGATAAACATCTTTGGAATCCAGGTTGTCAGTGCAGTCTGATCTGATGCTATTGTATTCATGCTTGCATGTTTTCCAACTGGCATGGACTTCTTTTCATTTCAGAAATGGAAAATCCTGAAGTGGCTGTGAGCAGCTGCAGTGCTCATGATGATGAAAATCTTTGCAGCCCCAAACGACAACCATCAGTATCACAGGAGGGGCTTTTGGAAGACCAGCTTAGAAGAAAGTTAAAATTCTTCTTCATGAACCCGTGTGAGAAATTCTGGGCCCGAGGCAGGAAACCGTGGAAACTTGGGATTCAGCTACTCAAAATAGCGATGGTTACTGTTCAGGTGAGTAACTATGGAAACAGGGACTCTTCTTAGCCCATGGGAAGTCAAATAAGTGCAGGCAACAAATGCAATTCATGGTGTGGTGCACAGAAAGGGAGAGGATAGACTGCAAAGCTATCTCAGTAGCATATATGTAGCTTAGATCTTAGATGGCATAACTTTCTGCTAAAATAATTGACTGAAAAAATAGCTTTCCTAAGAGTGGAGATGAAAGGAATCATGTTTAAGGGCTTTTTATTGAATTTCTTTTCTTGCCC